GAGGATCACCAGCCCCCTCGCCTGGCTCCGCACTCGCTTCTATTACCTCCTCATCCGCCTCTACTTCGACCAGGAGTTCAGCATCGAGGAGTTCACCCGAGGGGCCAAGCAGGTGAGCGCCGAACGGAGTTACTCGGCCCGGTGCGGCGCCTCAGCGGGTCGAGGAGGGCCAGGCTGGCGGGCTACCTGAGGGAAAAGTGCCCGAGCCGAGCTGGCTGCGCTCCGCTGGGCCTCCCCAGGGCACTGCTGGTGCCCGGGTTTAGTTTCACCTGCGGTCATCGTAGCGCCCGCAGTGGTGGTCCCCACTTTTGGCTCACCTCTGGAGGAAGTGCGAATAATCGGCGGTGTGCTTTGCTTCAGACTTCCATTGTTTTCTGTTCCCAGATGCCAGAATTAAAGTGAGGTGGTTTGGCGTGTTCCAGAAGTTTTAGAGATTTTAGGGAGAAATGTATCTTCTCTTAGCTGGTTTTCCTAAAATAACAAAACCTAGGCAGGCATAGAGCTGGTTTTTCGAAATTTATGAACCCAATAGGCTTTGTCAACAGGATGTGTCAAAGAGGTAGCCAGCGGTGGGTCTGTCTTGGAGCTGGCAGCATTGGCTCTGTCGGACACAGGAAACACTTCTAGCAGTTTCTCACAGAAACTACCTCTATAACCCCATTGCTACCGCACCCTGCCATGCAAACTGAGTACAATAAAAGACTGAATCACAGAATATTAGGAGTTGGAAGGGTGTTCGAAAAATCATCCAGTCCAACCCCCCTGCCAGAGCAGGATCACCTGGACTGGGTCACACAGGAACGCGTCCAGGCGGGTTTTGAATGTCTGCAGAGAAGGAGACTCCACAACCTCTCTGGGCAGCCTGGTCCAGTGCTCCATAACCCTTACAGTAAAAAAGTTTTTCCTCATGTTCAGGTTGAACCTCCTATGCTCCAGCTTGCTCCCATTTCCCCTTGTCCTGTCATTGGCTGTCACTGAGAGGAGCCTGGCTCCTTCCTCCTGACACTCGCCCTTTACAAATTTATAAACGTGAATGAGGTCACCCCTCAGTCTCCTCTTCTCCAGGTTAAAGAGACCCAGCTCCCTCAGCTGTTCTGCATAAGGGAGATGCTGCACTCCCTCAATCATCTTTGTGGCTCTGCGCTGGACTCTTTCAAGCAGTTCCCTGTCCTTCTTGAACTGAGGGGCCCAGAATTGGACACAAAAAGAAACCTTACATTTTTACTGGTTCATGAAATCAGTATTTTAATTCTGGAGGGTTTCCATTTCAATGGTGATATACTCTGCAAACATTGAAATCTTAAATCATGGAATATTTGGGTAGCTTGCTGCATGATGATGAATTTGTCTGAAAAATAAGCCAACCTAGTGTTATTTGTTCATGTATTTCTGTCTCTCTTTTTTTTTTTTCTTGGTAGGCCTTTTCTGTAGTTTCAAAGCTGCTGTCTCAGCGTAAACTGGACATGCTGAATGAACTTGTATCAGCAGAGGTAAATGCTTTTTGTCTCTTATTCTAGCAATTGATTTTCCATTATAAAGTAATATACATTTAGCCTGTCATTATCTACAAATACTGCCAGTTTCATTTAATTTGGGAAACACAGCATAAAGTGGAACAGGGCAATTGTCTTGCTGCTTTTTTATGTTTGATTTCAAGGCATGAAACTTAATTTAAAGTTACTGTATTTAGAAACATATATATTATTGCCATTGAGCGTAACGACCAGTTGCCAAAAAGATTGCTGACATACCAAAAGGAATTGAAAGGCGACGGGTTCTGGATGGCAGGTGGAATTGCATGCCTCAGTTGGTTTAGAGAGATGGCTGACACTCTCAGTCTGTGCACCAAAATTCAGATGAAGAAAGGAATTAATTTGTGGTCGTCCCTGCTGCACTAATACATTCCCACCCCCAAGCACATCATACAGCTAATTACTCATTTCGGCTGGAAGCCCTCAGTCTTGTGTCGTGGTCTCAGGGATACGGCTGACCTGGCTAGTTAAACATCAGTGCTCTGTGTTCTGTGTTTTTATGATTTTTTAATTGCTGAAGTTGTTTTGGCCTTCTTAGGGGATGGAAGTAGCAGATGAATCAGAGTCAAATGGAGGAGATACTTCAGGTCTATGCCTTGTTACTGGATGTCAGCTTGGCCCTGCCCTATTGCTACCCATGCCTTTGCAGCAAAAATTTTGGTGCTGTTCTAATTCATCCTCACTGGACAATCTTGCCTCCTCTCCCTGAGCAGAGATAGCAATAAAATGTGAGTTCATTTCTTATAGTTGTTTTGAAAGAGCATCTCCTCTTCCTCTGCTCATCTTAAATTCTTCAGGTGATCAGGTTAACATTGATCCAGAGACCTCATGTAACCACAGCGTGTAGTGGATGAGGCTGTGATATCACATCATATTCACTGAGGCCAGTGAATTTTCCACCTGCAAAATGTACTAGAAATCAATGTCTTCTAGCGAAGATCACCTCTTGCTTCTATGTGACCTCTGGATTTGTTTGTTATTTAAAAATGGCTATTCCGGTTAGGCTAAAAAACGAATATGAATTTAAAAAGTGCTGCACAGCTTAATCCTTCCTTGTGACGTGCCTTTCTCATGTGGTGTTTGAGGCGATGCCTCTGTTCAGTTTGCCCACCACACCCTTTTCCCGCTTAACACAGATGAGTAGCTCTTAAGATGCTCAGATACTATGGTTGCAAAAGCAGTATGGTCCCAGAGAATGTTTTTTCACTCTTCTCTGATTTGCAAATGTTTAAACTTTTCCTAATGGGACTGTCGATCACAAAATGGCAAAGATGAACTTAGTGGTAATGGAACTGATTTTCAAAGAAATTTGTGAAAGATAACTAAGAAATAATGAAATCAAAAGCTAAGGAATATACACATAGTGAGAAATCAGCAGTGAGAAGGCAGCATAAATATGATTGTGGAAGCAAGCTTAACTGGTATTTTTACATGTCTTGCTTTGCAACTTCTGTTTTGACAATACAGTTTCTGAATATTTTTTAAAATACTTTGTTTTCATTGGTTTAAGCAGTAAATATCACTGAATTAGGGTTTGGGAGTATCCAAACTTCCCAGTGCCTTTTCACTTCCCCTGTTGTGTTATACAAATGTTTTAGCCATATAGCTCATTTTATTGGGTTGGCTAAAAAGTAATTACAGGTTTTCTAATAGATGGACATACATGTCTTGAAATGTAACTAAATTTTAAACTGCAAATGCATTATGTGACTTGACAGCTGCCAGTGCAAGCTTGTTTTAGAAAAAGAAAGTGCATGATTTCATTAATAATTATTTATTTGCTGTCCATTTCAAAATGGAAAAATAATTAAAAAAACCATTTTCTTCGTATTTTGCTATATTACTTCTGAAAAGGAAAAAAAAAACTGTACAAGGTCATTAAAAGTTATGTGGTGTGTATGGTGAAGGTGCTTTACAACTATGGCAGTGTCACAATTGGTTTGCTAAATTATGGTCTAGAGATTTTGATGTAAATGATGCCCCACACTCAGGAAGGCAAATAAGAGTTGATAACAAGAAAATACATTGATCAGCTCCAGTCGGCATTTAAGAACACAGGAGATTGCTGATAATCTTAATATATCAAAATCAAGTGTTGAAAACTGTTTAAAACAACTTGGATACATTGGGACGCTCAATATTTGGGCACCACATGAGCTCAAAGAAATTAATCTTACTAAGCGCATTGACATTTGCAATTCTCTCTTGAAACGTGAAGAAAACGATCCATTTTTGAAATGGATGGTAACAGGAGATGACAAATGGATCATCTACAACAGTGACGAACACAAAAGATCATGAAGCAAGTGTCATGAACCAGCTCAAAGCTCTTCAAAAGCAGATATGCACCAAAGGAAGGTTCTGCTGTCAGTCTGGTGGGATTTCACAGGTATTGTGTATTTTGCATTGCTTCCAAAGAACCAAACCATTAATTTGGATGTGTACTGTCATCAACTGGGTAAATTAAATGATGCCATCAAACAGAAGTGTCCAGAACTGGTGAATCACAAAGGCGGTGTGTCTCTCAAAGATAACACCAGACCACAGACAAGTTTGGTCACCCATCACAAATGACTGCAGCTGGGATGGGATGTGTTACCACATCCACCATATTCACCAGACCTGGCACCATCAGACTGCCATTTGTTTTGTTCTTTACAAAATGCACTGAATGGTAAAACCTTCACTGCTGACGAGGATGTCAAATCGTTCTTGGAACTGGTTTTTGCCGAAAAAAGAGAAGAACTTTTTTGAGCATGGAATCATGAAGTTGCCTGAAAGACGGCACTTCAAAAAATGAAGAATGGACACTGCACTGTTTAATGCAGTTTTTGTTTCCCATGAGAAGTTTGCCTTTGATTGACCCAGAAAAAAACCACAATTACTTTTTGGCCAACCCAATATTATACTGCAGTAGAAAACATTGTTACTTCAATTTCCTAATGAAAAACTGACACTTTTTCTGAATGTAGGTACTTCAGGTGGTGAAGGAAAAGATTTCTTTGCTTCCTGACAACCACAGGGATGCTTTAGCAGCTGATGTTGATGCAATCATGTACACAACAGAGGGAGATGTTCGCATTTACTATGATGATGATGGTATGTTTAGAATTCTAAAACATTTCAACAGTGGGCAGCCTCACTTCCTGGTTTTGCTGCTAAGCAGGCATTCTCCTTACAGATGTGTTTTTGAGTACTGTTTCTCATTCCTTATTTTTCTCTTTATAATTCATCTACCTGTAATTCCTTGATTTCCTTTTAAACTAGAAACTGGGAGATTATTGTTAATAAGTCCTGGTACTGTTGTGACTTCTGTTCAGGTTTTGCTCATTTCTATTCTTTTGTAATTTCAGATTTTTACATTACTAGTCCTCAGCAATCTCAAACCACTCAAAAACAACAGTTCTAGTATATGCAGAAACCTATTTGCTTCAGCAATGAAAATACATCTTCCAAGAAGTATAGTGAAGGCTGGATAATGAAATAAATTCTTGCCACCTTCACTTCTATTCTGTTTTCATGGAACATACTTTGTTCTAAGACTGCTTGATTAATGTTTTTGAAGGTAGCGATGAGCTCAAACAAGGTTTTCTTTTATCTGAATACCAGCATTATGTGCTCCGTTCACTATCAGGCAGAGTCGAGGTAGTTTATAGTCTAATCATGGGTCTTTCAATGAGCATTTCAAATGGTCAGGCCCAGTGAGCCTTTTTCCTGTTTCGGTACATAGGGATTCTATATTTTTTTCTTTCTCTTAGATTGCTCCTGAATTTCAACTACTTTACAAACTTGTAGTTTCAATAGTTGGCTTTGGACCTTGTGGCAACCAGCTTTTTTTCGTATGGTCTGATTATGTACAATGTCACACAACACTCATGATAAAATACAGAGTGTATTTTTATTGTTGCATGAATGTCTTTAATAACTTTATTGTTCATTATTCTATCATACAGCTGAAGTCAGCTGTCCTTCCAGAGTCTCACTAGAATATATGCTAGGTAGAAAATAGGAGTATTTGACCAATGAGAAACATGAGATTTACCTTATGCTTTGATTTATTTCCAACAGGAAGAAAGTTTGTTAGTATCCTCATGCGTTTCTGGTATCTGAATGGTGCTAACCTACCTGATGAAGTACCAGGTGAAACCAAAGTTTTCCAGATTGTGTTTGGAGATGAACACACAAAAGAAAAGAGACATCTTTTAACAGCAAACTATGAGTAAGTTTACTTGTCCCCCTTTTTTTTCCATGTACATGGGCTAGCTGTGTGGAAAGTAGTTTGGAACTGAGAGCATTTGCACTGTGCCAGTGCAGAAGTCAGTGTGTTTTAATTTACTTTGATTCTAGTCCAAGTTAGTTCTCATCCAGCTTTCCAGTTTTAATTCTAGGGCCAAATTTTTTAAATGCCCCTTAAATTCATTATGTTATTACTTTGCTTGAGAGTTGACGTTAATGGGAACTCAATCAGGAAAAGCTTTAGTTGGAGCATGAATGAGGTTTCTGATCCTTTCCTATATGGGTCCTGCAGCTTTCAGGAAGTATGCCAATATCAGTTCTTGTTTCCCTTTTCCTGTAGCACAACTAACAACGATGCAGTCAAGCCAAGCAGTGAAGTGTGGTGCTGTTGACTTGTCACTTCCCACACAGAAGTCAGAACTGCAATTAGTTGAAAAAGTAGCTCATAAAAGAGATATTTAGCAAAATGTTTTCTACAGAAAGGCAGAACAAAGCAAGCATCACCTGGTGTTCAGATAATTCATGCTACTCTGATCCAAGCCCTCAAAGCACACAGTAGGTAAATGGTTTTTCCTACGAGTGCTTGTAAATAATATCTGTTAGCGTACTGATGTTGGAGCAGTGCAGAAATATCTGCGCAGTTGGCAAAATATACTGAAAATAACCTTTGCAGAAGTTGGAAAAAGTGAAGATTTTTGTGTGAGAAGTGCAATATAATCAACGACTTCTACACCCACATTTGAACTGGAGAGACTATGGGGTCTAGTTGATGAGGAGCTCTGAAACAAAGGAAACACTCTGAGGACACCAGTGCCCTTTGCCTGGATGGGTTTTTGTGGATTCAGCCCTTAGTTGAAGTCAGCATCTTCCTTAGAGTTGGAGGCTTCTGAGGCTCCATTAACCTCAAGAGCCTCTCCTTAAAGCTCTAAATATCTTCCTAATCCCCAGCAGAGAGATCTTTGTAAGTATGTGTTCCTTCTGCTATTTACAGTGCTAACCTAAACTGACACGAACAAAGATACTACAGGCCTTGGAAGCCTAGTGTTAAATATTTGGTTGTCTGAAGAAGACAGATTCCAGGAGTAGATTTGCATGTAATTGTGAAGCAATGAGGTTGTACTGCTCTTGTCCACAATGTGCAGGTTACTTGGGAGCATGAATTTTCAGTTTGAAACTCAGGATTATCTTTAGATGCCAATTAGTCAAAACTGATGTGCTCAGGGAGGAAGGCATTAATGGCTATAAAAGGAAGAGGAAGACTTTGAAAATAGGAGTGGATGTTTTCAGTTTTTTATCAACAACTGCAGAGAGATCCAGTACTACTGTTAGCTTGATCTTTGATGTATTTCTGAAAATATATTACTTTGTAAAATATAGTTCAGTAAAAATGAAAATTTGTGATTTCCCTTTATAATGCAGTTACCGTCCCTTTAAATGAAACCCTTTATTTAGAGATGAAGATCTGCCACAAAGCTATATTCATAGTTACTGCCATGAAAACTTGAGTGCTTTCTTGATACCAGGGTCTTTACTGTTGCTGCTTGATTCTGTCTGTGATATCTGAACCAAAACACTCTGAAGTAAGTGCTTTGTTTCTTACTATGGAATTAATTTTGATCTTCCAATCTGGGGCATTAGTATCAGAGTCTAAGAAGCTTTTACAGGAATAACTTTCAAGTAAAGTATTTCTTCATGATTTTTTGTTGGTATGAGTAGCTCTTTAAGGATCAAGTAAATTTTAACAACTCTTCACTTACTGTTTTTTCCAGGTTCCAGAGGGAATTTACAGAAGGAGCAAAACCAGACTGGACAATTACACGGATTGAACATCCAAGGCTGTTAGAATAAATGCCTTCTACACTCTTTTTATGTACCATTGTAAATGTTTAGTCTCTCTTTTTCCTTCCTGTCTTCTCCTCCAAAAGAGGGATGAATTTTGTATGTTTGATTTTCCAAAATTGTTTCTGAAACCTACATGATGCTGGAGAATTACAATAAAGCCTTTTCCCTGGAACATGCTAGTACAAGTTCAATTGGTGCTAACACACATCCAAGGCATTTACACACAGTGTACGTTTCACACAGGCCGGTATTACGGGTATGTTAACTTCTTACATTCTGAGAAGAAATGGTACTACTTGAAGATACACAACACTTTCGTGCTTGCTGGTCCTTCTGAGTTATTTTCCTGTGTTTCTTTTTTCCCTCGGGATTGTAAAATATAACTGAATAATATGCAAGATGAAATAGAGGTAGATGGACTTCTTAGATTGTCTAGCCTCAGGAGTTCATTTTGAGGTAATCCTGCTTTTGAATATATTTGAGATTAAAAGTTAGAGTCATTATCAGTATTTGGTACAGTATTGGAGTAAGAAAAAACTTCTAGCATTGCATTGGAAAAGCGGATCAGGTATAGATATAAAAATAAAACCAACATTCCTTTCAATTAAATAACATATACACAATTACAAGTGTAGAGGTTTATGAAGAAAGATCAGTCAAAACCACGAATTTAAAGGAGGACCTGACAGTGAAGCTAAATTAAGTCCTCTGTTTGAAATGCTTCTTGAAGAAATAAGCAAATCATTAAAATTAGATGTTGCAACTTAACAGTTTCCCAGTTCTCAGATCATCTCTGTTTCTGGAGCATGAGATTCCTGGTGTAAGTAGCTTGAGATTTTTATATGCAGATCAACAGGAGATCATCCCAACTTTAAAGATAAAGCTACAACTTTCTACCCAGGCATATTGTAGAGATTCTTGCAGTGTTGTGAAAGTGTAAAGTAAGTATAACTACCATGTTTCACAGTAGTTGTGAGTGAAAAGTGTAAATTAGATTTTCCGTAGTTCAGCTCTTTTGATGCAGTGCTTTAGTGAGAAGAATGTTTAAAGCTTATCAACAAGTAATGTCAAATCTTGGCAAAATAATTAGGGTATTCTGTTCTGTTATAGCAGCAGCAGCATGGCCTTGTAAAGAAGAATTTGTGATCTGTCTGCTGGACAAAGTTCAGTGGTGACAGAGAGCCTTGTCTTCAGGGGAGAAACAAAATTCTCTATTTAAAATATATATATATAGCTATTTTGTAGTATGCAGTCTGGAAAAATAGAAGCAAAGCAACACATGTTTATTGTTCTGTGGGCTGTTTGCTGGGGTAATGCTAAATGGTATCATGCAGTTTGGCCACTGAATGATGCGCTGCAAGAAGCTGCGATCAGCCATATTTGACAGTAGCAGGAGAAACAAGCAGAGCATTGGTGGAGTGTGCAGATGGACTTCTAGAAGTGCTCCGTTGTTATGGAGCAAACGAAGACAAAAGCCAGTGAAGCCATCTCTTTATTCAGAAGTCTCTGCTTTCATATTGAAGTAACACAGAGGTCTATCTAGAAATGCTGGTCTATCTTAATTTTTAATTTGCTGTACTTTATCTTTTTTGTTTGATTGTTTATATCAAAATGGGAGTCTCTGTCATGACTGATGAGGAAATGCTCTTTTACTAGTGAGTGCTCCAATTTTGGAAGCAAGGGCAGAGTAAGCCCTTCTGTATGACTAATAATAATAATTTAAAAATTTGTTTTATGCTTTATAAAATTGTGACTTGATGTAAACATGCTCCAAATTGATGATAACACAGTTTTGCTGAAAAAAAAAGTTGTCATTGGAAATATACATGCACTATTTTATTCTTTAAAAGTTACGTTTGTCTTGTGGGTTTGCTGGGAGTAGCTGTTGGGTGTTTGGGATTTTCTCCCCTCTAATCTTCATTTTAAAAAGTATCCTGGAGACTACAAACCTCTATCAGATACAGAACTATCTATGGCCTATCTATGGCCTTACTGCACCATAAATAAATCAGAAAGGCACATAAATTACTAAGCATACTGTAGTAGAAAGTGGTTCACTTCCACAGTGAATAAAACCAGTATAATTAAACTTTATTTACAGTCTAATATTGGCCTCAGGAAAAAAAACACCACCATCCCCAGAAAACCCCAAACCCATCTTGGAAGAAATGGCCAAATGTATGCCTTAAAGAAGAGGGCATTGAAGTTCACAGGAAGCTTTGACTCCTTTTTACCTGCCATCCATAAATTATATCATAAATCTGATCATCATAGCAATTAATCAGGCTGAAGTGAATGTCAGTGAAGGGCGTGAGTCATCTGATGGCATCCACATTTTCTCTTACTTCTCTTTACTTTTGTGTCACTTGTTCAGGGAAAACAGGAACTTCTTGTTTCTGCATTGCCAGCCAAAAATATCTACCCAAACCTCCTATTATCTGAGAGATTAAATGTATTTTGTGTCTTCAAGCTAGTGCAGGTAGTAAATACATTTCTATATACCATAATGGTTGTTCCAGATTCTCATGGCAAAAAGAACAAGTAAAGGGTTAAGTTTGCTTCATCTTGATCTAAGACAAAGATGGAGGAGAATATTGTCCTGTAATTCTGCATTTTCCAGTGCTGCTATTCAAATGCCATACTCTCAGAATCACAATGCATAAGTGTTACAGAATTTTTAAAAGAAGCTAAAGGAAGTGTTTTATTAGAAACATCTTTGTGATTTAAGAATAATGATGCTAAACAGGGAACCCTAGAACAATGTGGGGATCTGTTTCACAGCACGCTGGTGCTCCCAAGTTCTCTTACTGATTTGTCTCAGATATCACCTTAGAAATCACAGTGTGTAAGGCTTTGGGTGTGCTTTATTTCCCTTCTGTCTCCTTGCTTGACTTCCATTTCTGTAGCTGTAAGTCAGTGGGGGGAAGTACGCTTGTAATTATAGTGTACAGCCTGTAAATCTCCATTTTCATATTTGCAGTTTTAGCCTGGAAACTTCATCGTTCAGACCCCAGTAATTCTTGAAACCAATGTTACGAGGTTTGGTAGTAGTGATTTTTTGGGGTAAAATTCATATCTCTATCAGCAACACTAACATTTCTGATTCATTTTACACAGAACAGTGAGGTCACAAGGTGTCTGGACTACGCATGAACAGGGGAATGAAGATTCAAAGTACCACATTTTCCTCTGGGTGAAACTGTGTTTCCTTAGGTTCATGTGGAGCTTGGAAGCATTTATTTATTTGTTCACCTGCAATGATGGTCATGCTTACTAATTACTGACCCTGCTCATCTGTAAACATCTGCTTGGCACGATTTCAATGCATGTGTCTAAGTCTTGACAAGCACTAATTAAATCTGGCCAACAAAACTCCCGTTAATTTGCACACCCCACTCACCAGTAGGTGGCCTTGGTCACAAAGCTGTTGTGCATGGGAAGTGACTCGCGTTAATGAGAGTGTAAGAGGGATAAAAAATAAAATAGTAGAGGCATTGATTCTCATTTAAGTGCTATTTAAATCATTTAGACTTGTCTTATTAAAAAGTCTTGATATTCTTACTGGCTTTTATGGAGTCAATAGTAGTGTCTTAAGTTCTCTTTGCAGTGCCTACACATTTTAAAGTGGCAATTTAACAGTGTTCTTAATATAGGAAAGATGGGTCGTACATGGCAATTCACACAGGCACCTTAGTGTCTGACAGTAGTAAACCTTAGTTTTGTATTCACATTTTAAATTATATTAATCTTGTTGATTGTGGTTCCTTTCCGTCCTGTCTCAGCATTGTCTCATTGTTTTGGTGGGCCACATTCATTCTCTAGTTTTTAGGGCACGTTCAAGCTTGACCTTGCCTTCACTTCAGGTTATATTTAGTTAATTACTTTCAAGTCTTGTGGCTGGAAAGCTGTTAGTAGTGAAAGTCACATTGTTTGCCACAATATTGATCAATCTTCTTCAAAACTTTGCGAGTCCTGTGCTCTTTTACGTTGTGTGGCACAGTTAAACTTGTTTTCTGCCCCACGTGCCTCATTGGCTGCAGATGGGGGCCTTTGAGATTTCTTGCAGGCTATAGTCACACAATGGCTCCCAGCTTATATGGGATAGGGTATAAGAGTGTGTGTGAGAAGTGTTTCTAGCTTCATTCGTCTCTCCAGTGTGGATGTGATAGTTTCTAAGCACTGGACCACATGCGAGCACAGGAAGAGATATTTTGCTGTTAGAAAAGTATGCAATGCCTACACAGCTGTGCTTTTGTTCCTCTGAGGGAAAGGCAGCTGGATCAAATCACAGAATCACAGAATCACACACAGAATCACA